GAACTGCGCGCCTGAAATTCACAGCGGGCTGTGCTAGGCTCCGCTCCAAAGGGCGGAACGCGGCCACCCCCCACCCCGTTCCCAGTGCCCCGTCGCCAGGGACACAGCTGTTCCGTTGGGGAGTCGCTTCTCAGGCGGTGTTAGGACTTAACTGTTGTTCCCCGTACCATCCCCCGCTTTGGTGAACAAGAGCGGAGGGAGTTACCCAGAAATGGAGGCCCCGGTTTCCTTTTGAAAAGGGCCAGTGAGAAGGATTCCAGCCAAGGACACAAGCTGGGAAGGCATCCAGATGGGTATCTTGTCTGCATTAGTGAGAATTCTCTCTTGTGGCTTAGTCCTTTCTCTATACAAGGGCTCTGTGTTTTCACCTCCGGGCCAGCTAGCAAGAACAGTTAGCAAATGCAAGAGTCAGCCCTCCCGCAAGCGTTTGAAAGCAGTAGCAGGGCCCTGAATGCTCACTTAGAAATGCCAGGGTCCCGGAAGTGCCCAAGCAGTGTGAGATGCAAGTGTGGTTTTCTTTACTGCAGTGACAAGAAACAACTGTTTTTTTTTTTTTTTTAAAATATATATATTTTATTTATTTATTTAACAAAAACCATATATTTTGTTTTTATACAGAGAGGAAGGGAGAGGGATAGAGAGTTAGAAACATCGGTCAGCTGCCTCCTGCACACCCCCTACTGGAGATGTGCCAGCAACCAAGGTACATGCCCTTGACTGGAATTGAACCCCGGACCCTTCAGTCCACAGGCCAATGCTTTATCCACTGAGCCAAACCGGTCATGGCAACAACTGGTTTTAAGAAAAGAAATATAAACAGATGCTGTGAATGGACCTAATTATTTTCCCCCAACGACTTACAAAAATAAACTCGATTTTTCTTTATATCTTTTTGGTTTCTGACACGATGGTCAGAAATCTCTTAAAATATATCACTGATACAGGGAAAATGCCATCACCTTAATACGTCTTGGCTAAGATGCTACCCTTGTTTCAAAGTCCTGTATCTCTGAGGTAACTCTTGAAAGGGCTCTCTCCAAAGACACCTCTTTTCCTTATGGGGATAGAAGAGATTAGTAGCTATCAGGGAGAAGTTCCTTTGATTTCAAAGATAAGTTAAATGTAGACACTTGAATAAAGAAATACACGGTGTGGTATTAGTGTTGATGAGGGCAGAGGTCAGGTGAGGTTTTCTGAGTTTAAGTTGATTGAAAGTTTTTCTTTGACGTTGACGAAGAGCAAAAGGGAAGTTAATTCACTAGTCATTTACCCATTGAAGTCGGTGTGGACTCTTACAGCCAGATGGATAATAATGAAGACAAATCTCCTGTGAAGTAAAATTCCCTGAACATCTGACAAATCTCTTTTGTCATTTTTTCCCACTGCTAGGAGACCTATTTTGGGATACTTACATCTTTCCACTTGCAGCTAGGATGGAGGAACACGTTTACATATTTTTACTGTTCAGAAGCTCTTTTCCGCCATTAAATACCTTCCATCCCTGGCTGGATGGCTCAGCTGGTTGGAGCATCGTCCTGTGAACCAAAAGGTTGCAGGTTCAGTTCTGATTCCATCCCTGCTCTGGGCCAGTAGGTCTAGTAGATGTTTGTTTGTTTGTTTTTATTTCTTTCTCACTCCCTTCCTCTCTAAAAAAAACAATAAAAACATATTCTCCGATGAGAATTAAAAAAATAAAATAAAAGTACTTTCCATAGTAATCAGTCAATAGGTTATTATGGGTTCCCTTTCCAAGAGATACTCCCTCTGTTTTATGTGTCTCAACATGAGCCATTTTCATCCCCAACACCATCCCCAACACTTTAAAAAAATGTTTTTATTGATTTCAGAGAGGAAGGGAGAGGGAGAGAGAGAGAGATAGAAACATCAATGATGAGAGAGAATCATTGATTGGTTGCCTCCTGCACACCCCTTACTGGGGATGGAGCCTGCAAGCCAGGCATGTGCCCTTGACTGGAATCGAACCTGGGACTCTTTAGTCTGCAGGCCAAGGCTCTATCCGTTGAGCCAACCAGCTAGGGCTCCCCACCCCTTTTAAGGTGCCTTTGGGATGGACAGGACACTGTGTGTGTACTTAGACTATGAACTTGACCTGGGAGGTCAGAAGTAGTTTGCCCATCCTTAGTGAAGTCCTACTTTGAGTACAGAGTTCTTTCAACTGGGAGCTCACAATATCTCTGTGATCTGTTTAACTATTTATTACTCAGGCCCGTGAGACATGCTGTCCTTCCCGGGGGTAAGTTAGGAGGGATTATGTCTGAGCTCTGGTACAGTCAAGCTGTGGACCACCTATAAGCCCTGGGCAGGGAAGCTTAGGGGTCCACTTCCCTAAATAGACTGGGGACACATTAAGACATTTAAATAGAAGCCCCTTAACTGGATAATACAACAAGTTCAAAGAGAGTGAGCCCAGGGAAGGATCTACTTGTAGCTGGCACTCTGTGCACAGTGTGGTGGCGGGCTCTGCAATGGCAGATACGCTTAGTGGTTCAATTCCATCTCATATATGTGCTTGGAGGCAGGATTTACTCCACTGCAGCCCTAGTATTATTGCCAGGGTTTTATTTTTTTGTGGTGACTTTTTCCTGATTCTGACAAAAAAGTAGGGGATGTGTTTCTTTCTTTTTTTTAAAATATCTTTTTTAAATATATTTTGTTGAGTTTTTACAGAGAGGAAGGAAGAGAGATAGAGAGTTAGAAACATTGATGAGAGAGAAACATCGATCAGCTGCCTCTTGCACACTCCCTACTGGGTATATGCCCGCAACCAAGGTACATGCCCTTGACCGGAATCGAACCTGGGACCCTTCAGTCCG